GCAGACTCTCCGACACTGTATCGAGTTCTCGCCGACTTCATTTCGAATCTCCAACAGCTCAGCAAGTGCTTAAGGTTTAACTACCAACCCTTAACTACCAACTCAAATGTATCACCTTTCATATCCCTTATTGGCCGTTCCAACTGAAAAGCTGTCGCTACTTTCCTTAACGCTTTCATGTCCACACTTGAAAACATATTGCAAAAAAAATGTTCTTTCACCACCGTACCGTTAGTGGTCATGCAATACCCCACCGGTACGTATTACCTAGAAGCCGCCTATCATACCCAGTTGGAAAAAAAAAACCTTTTTTATAAACTCAAGATATCAGCCGAATCCTCCATGGGAATCGTGAGGTTACTCTCGAGGTCTCACGACTTTCTCATGAGGACTGTGAGGTTCCTCATGAGGCTTTGAAACGTCCTCATGAAGATTATGAGGTCCCATGAGATCTCACAAATTATTCATGAGAAAGTTGTGAGACTTCATGAAAACTCTGTTCGAAAACTTCATGAGGTTTTTCGAGCAGGGACGAGCCTCCATGAGGTAAATGGCATAAGACCCTATGAGGTCAGCTTCATGAGATCGGTCCAGATGCCTCAGAAATCATGAGACATTAACCCTTTCAGTTCGGGTGGGACTCAGGAGACTCACATTTTCTTCGCATCTAATATATATAGACGATCGTGACTGAGTGACTGACGCTAATTTTAACCATGTTCTAGAGAAGTTAGAAATCTGAAACTTGGTATATTCGTACCTTTTGGGATGCAGAGTTCAGAATAAATCAGACTTTGGAGGTACATGCCCTGGGGGCACCCATTTTGGGGGGATATGTTTTCAATCGTATAGATTTGCTTCAGTCAAACGGAAAGTTGAAAACTGACATGAACGTGTCTACTGAGACATAAATTTCAGGAAAAATGTCAAGTTTCAGATGCATACCCTGGGGGTATATTTTTGGAGACTGACGTTTTCAAATAATTTTCTTTTCTCCTAGCGAATTGGGCAGAGATAGAAAGGTGAAACTTGGCACACAGATAACTGAGGTGACGTTGAGTCCGGAAAAAATGCAAATTTTGTGGCCCATACCCTTAGGGCACAGCTTTTGGTTGGGTCGACTTTTCCAAATATCTTTTTACACCAGCGAAAAGGGAAACGGATGAGGGTGAAACTGGGTAGGCATGTAGTTCTCCGAGAATTGATTTCAATAAAGTATTAATTTTTATGTAAAGCACCTAAGGGTACTTTTTTTTTCCAAAAGGCGCATTTTCCTTAATATTTTTTTTATCAAATGAAAAAGAGAATTGTAGAAAGTTGAAATTTGGAGCAGAAGTACCTGTTCTATTGCTAAATGCAGACCCTACTTTTGAAACATCCCCTCTCAGGGTAGGTTATGAAGTGATTTGAAGTTAGGCTCATAAGAATCATCATAGTAATTTTTTCGATAGAAATATCGATTCGTTCCTCATTGCTCATATTTCGAGATGGAAATACTTTTAATACGTTTTTGCCACTTCGAAAATGAATTAATGAATGAATCGCTATCCTGGAAAATGGAGCGCCGAAGGCGCGACCATAGCGAGTTTGTTATAGGGTTACATAGAAATGCAAGACCTTGAGGGCATGGCAGCATTCTGAGTCCTAGTTTATTGTAGTTCACCTCATGTTGTCAAGTTGACAGCAGTTCACAGTAATATGAAGCAGCTGTATTTCCTCTGGCACTTCAAAAATGGTGTAATATTTTGCATTTATTTCAGCTAATACATTTCTTTCCGAGCCAACTTTTTCTATGTTTTTGCAATCTAGATAATGGAAAGTAGTACAAGAATACTGGGTGACATATTACTTAAAACATGGATATGTGTACGAGCTGAACTAAATAAATATAATTTAATTAATTAATTTTAAAATATAATTTAATATTCATTTTACTTAAGAAAATCATTTAAAAGCACTTTTATTTTATGTGAGCCTTGTTGAAGCCCAAAAAATATGAATTTTTTAAATGCCTAGAATATAATTCAGGACTGAAAGGGTTAAATCATCTTTTTTTATAATAATACTTTTTTGACCATGGAATCTTAAATCGTACATAATTCTCCTCACAAAACTGCCGTTGTTTGCAGGAAATTCGAAAAAGGGAAATTTTCCCGCGAGAGGATAAAGATGACTTTCAATTGGATTCTAGGACCACACTGTCCCAAAGCAGAAGTCTCTGATAAGACTTGTTATCACTCAATTTCCTACTGCAGGCGTTTAATGATTTCCCCCCTGACATTCACAAAACATGAGAGGTTCAAAGCAGACCGTCTCACTCCATGCAATTGCTATCGACGGTCACCAAGGAAGGATCCAAAGACCACCTCATTTAAAAGGAACTCAGGATAAAAATTATTGTCCAGTTCCGAGCTTCCTTGTCTTCCTGCCTTAATCCCTTTTTTTTCCTGCTATGATTCCGCGGGAACCGAAACTTTTTTTTGTCTAATTTCCCGCCTATTCCTATAGCCTTGAATGATAATAAAAGGAGCTCGCATGTCCATTATAGTGGTTGTGCCTATTCGTTGCAGTTGCACCAGGCAAAGCAACCAAGCGTTCACATCTTCTGGCAGAAGTACAGTCCTAAGCTTCATTCATCATTCATTGTCGGCGAGCACTCTGTCCTCCGATCGATTTTTCCCCCATCGCGCACGGTTCTGAGAATATTCCTCTCATCCCGAGGTTGTCCAGAGGAACATCACGAGAACCGATGGTTTATATTCCTTCTACAAGAGAACTCCATGTCCATATCAGGATTTTTCGCTTTTTTAGGACCAGAATTTTCCCGATGGATCATTGTTAGCGGCCAAGAATTATTGCCGAAATCCGGATCGAGATCCACGGGGACCCTGGTGCTTCACGGGAACTCCATCTCAACCATACAACGTGGGATTTTGTCAAATCCCACTCTGCCAATCACACCCTGGATATGACGCCTCCCCACGTGAGAATCTCCCTTACACTATCAGGCACTCATGTCTCTATTAAAGGTTTCTACTTTTCAATCACGAAGTAATGTCCATGAATATTAGTGTTACAGGTAGCGTACTCGGGTCGTTGCCGGGGTCGCCGGGGGGCGGTACAATTTTTCGATAACGCCAATGGATTGTGCGAGGACGATCCCTCCTATGCCATTTTATGTCCATATTGGGCTCTTACCGACGAATGCCATCGAAGCAGAGCTTTCATGGAGACCTACTGTCGGGATTCCTGTCGTCTCTGTTGATTTCCCAATTCTTCCTATTCCTGATTCATGTCTTCCTTCCACGACTGAAATGATGAAACAAAGCGTTGTTTTTGCTTATCGAATTTGAGAAAAGTCCTGCTACAAAACCAAGGCGAAGAAGGGGGAGACGACCCGAAGGGATGTGATAAAGACGTGGGAGCGAGGTCGAAGGAATCTGCATCTATATTGGAGAATCTGAATAATAATTAAGCATCATGGTATAGACCTACCCATCAGAGAATGTGTTGAGGGGGGGGGGGGGGGGGAGAGCGGAGGGGGAAGGGGAGGGGGGGGGGGGGGGGGAAGCGAAAAATCCTGATATGGACATGGAGTTCTCTTGTAGAAGGAATATAAACCATCGGTTCTCGTGATGTTCCTCTGGACAACCTCGGGATGAGAGGAATATTCTCAGAACCGTGCGCGATGGGGGGGGAGGAGAAGAGAGGAAGTGAAAGGATAGAAAAAGATGAAAAAAGAGAAGGGAAGGGACCACCAGCTGGTTTCCTTTCCTCTATTCATTGTGGACGGATTTTCTCCAACCCCCATCCCCAGTCTCTGGGGATTCCCCATATCGAGCCCGAGCAGACATACATATATCGAAAGATGGGGGCTAGCCTACAGCCATAATCCATACATTTTAAAGAGACGAGGGTGCAATATCGGAGGGGAGTAATCAATCATTCATGAACGAGAGGATATTACATACGGATCCACCATGAAATACGAGAATCCAAAAATGAAACTACGCTTTTTCTGGAAAAAAAGAGAAGAAAAAGAAAACAGAAAGTGGAAGAGAGGAATAAGAAAGCTAGGGATTTTGAGTTTTTTCGTTGCGTGCTGAGTGCAGACGGTCCTGTCCAATTATGCAGGGGCTTGGCTCAGGGTTTCATGTAGTAGGTACCACTCAGGTACTGTACAATGAGGCAGGTAGAGCCTCTGCCCCCGATCGATTATCCCAATTTCGCCTTGTCCTTTCCCCTGCGCGTGCATCAAGGCTCGCCTGCCTCTCTACTTTATCTCGCTTCCAGATAGAGGTCGATGATAAAAAAAAAGGGAAACCTGTCGGTTTCCCAGTCCATCGCCTTTATCCACATTGCGGGATCGTCTTCGAAGGAGAATGCAGGAGAAAGGGAGGGATGATGTCCCGGGATACACGAATCCTTTTTCAAGCTAATGTACGCAGGCAGGACCTAGATTTTTTGGTTTCCATTTACCTCAGCCTGCTTCGTATGCACCACATGCAAGGCTTCCTGCTCCTCAGGTCCAGCCTTTCCCAGGAGCTCCATTATGATAATTGAGGGTATAATGACGCAAAGAAAACCTAGAGGGTAAAGAACAGGTTTGCGTGCGAACAGATATACCCTTAGCAGAAAAATTACAGAGAAAAATGACGCAAGTTGCGATCAGACACAGATACTATCATCTTCCTTGGCACGTCTTGCAGTACGCATAATGCTTCTACATTCTTGAAAAAAGGGCAAAAAACTGAATGATGCAGAGCAATGTTCTTTGAAACCTTTCCAATGTCTCCTACTATGGAATGCTCTTCGGAGGAAGAAGAATACTGGATTGCAAATGACAGGGCATCATCAATCCCCAAGCTCATTCATGTGCTCACTTGGCAAATGAGATGCTCACCAGATGACGGATCTTCTCTCCCTCAATCTCCACTTAATTGGTTTCTCAGAGATGGTAATCTGAACCCTCCTGTAATGACGCAAGCTGTATTTCTCACCAGTATAGCAATATCGGACGAGCGTAGCAAGGGCATCGGGATCCACCCCATGCAAAGTGACTTCTCCTTGCCCGGCTTCCCTCATATCCCCTCCAAACATTGCAGCAAAGTAGTCAGTTGCAGCTGCCAGCACCAATCGATGGGCCTGAATTCTCCTCGAACCTGAATGAAAAAACAGGAGTATCTCTACCTTTTCTCTCTCTCTCTCTCTCTGTATAGAAGGAAAGGGAGATAAAAGAGTAGGGAGTCCCAAGATCCCAGCTCAATCTCAGGTTCACTGGGGCATGAAGGCACGAGGACGAAGGGGAGAGACAGCGGGAGAGGAAAAAAAAGATACAAAGACAGAAAGTATGCCAGAAGAGACCGAAAACATGAAAAAAGGATAGGGAGCGGAACTGACCAGCAACGAGAGTGACGTCAGTGAGGGTCCTCTGATGACAAAATGCGTCCATCCGCCGCAAGCTATTGTAGGCATGGTATTGAGAGTGGAAACTCTCATCGGGGCCTCCGACCGAAGGCGACGAAGAAGAAGAACGGGTGCCCGAAACGGAGGCGGAAGTGCTGGTGTGGATGGATGCATCTGGTGGAGCTGTGGGGATTGGAGGTGGGGCGCAAGGTGGAGGCGTCCCGTGAACACCAGGGAAGTGCTCCCCGGCCATCATTCCCACTCTCACGTAGTTTCCTCCCAACCCATGGAGACTCCTATCGACACACATGCACAATCACTGATAATGATACAGTGCATAAAAGCATACAGATGATATATCTTGGAAATCAAAATCAAAACATTGACATCCAAGATGCCTCATAATTTTTTCCGCAAGAAATTCCATGAATTCGTGAATTCATGGATAATATACCTTAGAGCAGAGGTGCACAACATACGGGCCCGCCATGACTGGTGGCGTTGTAAGTGCTACTATGACTCCTGCCCTGTTGGTTCCAGCTATGGTCAGCCAGACTGCGGCCCGCGGTATGTGATTAAAAGTCGCAAGTGCCCTCAAAGTCTTTTGAGTTGTGCACCCCTGCCTTAGAGGAAAAACTGTAAAATGTTGAAGTTAGTTTGACAAGGTTTCTTCTTTTAGGAAAGAGTCTAGTGCAATTCCACAAAGTGCCCTGTGACGATAAAAAGCGGGGACGTGACAATCATCGCCACTCGGCACACGAAACCGTATTCGGGCAAAGGATTGCCTCTCGCTTCCTTTGATGTCACTCACCTCCTATTGCTCTAAGTCCTGTCTTGCTTATTAATCCCTGATGATACAGAGAGAGATGCAATCCACTTCATCAATGTGGAAGTTCTAATTCACTTTTTGTTTCCCCACTCGATTGCTATCATGAACTGTACTGCTTGTTCACGAGAAGTATGGCCACCCAGACACCTCAACATGTCAGGTGCCATAATTGCGTGAAAAAAATACTCCCCAAAATGACAATAGATAGACAAGAGACTTAAGATGCAACAAGTTGTATTGGTAATAGGATCTAGTCAGATAACCCTCACCCACGTGTGACGACCACCAATGAGTCATGCGACACAGAATAATTTTTTCTAACAATGCCCAGTGGTCGTTTGGCAATCAATTCGCTAGCGCAGTTACTTTTTCAATGTTGAAAAACGATAGTGTACAGATCTTGTATCGTGTATTGTCGTTTCGTGTCACGAAAGCTACTATTCGGCACCAATATATTCCTATTAGAAAGTAGTCATAAGTCCCTCTGACAATGACTCTACTTGCTCCTCTGCCTCTGTTTTTTTGACGGTGGAATCCAGAACAGAAACTCAGGTAGAACGCAGAGAGTATATATAAAGAAAGCGGAGCAGAAGTGGCCTTTTAATTTTGTAAAGAGAAGAGATGTTGAATTTGCCTTTTGCAGTAGGATCTTAATTCTTCCCCCCCCCCCCCCCCCCCCCCCACCACCAAAAATAAAGCACTAAAGATTCTAAAAAATGTTTTAAAAAATCGTACAATCTCTCGATTTGGCTCTTAATGTGAAACTGCTAAGTTGGTCTTTGACGAGGTCTACATATTATTTTATACCAGAGACAAAAAAGTTTGTTTGCTGTGGGGCCAACCGGCCGAAGACGTTTTTGGGCCCCCTTCGACCCTAGTGAATATCTTTGCTCTTTCTCAATTTCAATGAATGACTTCAACAGCGTAAATCTTCTCTCCCTCTTCAAAATCCCACAGATATTCATAAAATGGAGTTGAGACCGCAAAGGAGTGGGTAGGAAGGGGGGGGGTTGGTAGGTAGGAGAAGGCACAGAGCTAATCCCATTCTAATTACGTCTACAAGGAGGAATGCATGCCCGTTACGACAAAGAACCACTAGGGATTTAGGAATGATTTCCCTCAGGAACGCCCAAGTAGGCCCATCCGATTCTTCATTACATATCTTTCGACACGAGAGAGATATAGTAGAAAAGGGTGGGGAGGGGAAGTACAAGGGATGCATCTTGATTAAAAGTTGCCCTAATTGAGAAAGGAACAGTCTCCAACGGGCTTGCACGAGAAGGAAGGAGAGCGAGAGAGAGGGGAAAGGAAAGGGGGGGGGGGGGGAGAGAGGAGCAATAAACCGTGGGGGTTGCCCAAGGAAAACCTTCCATTACCTAGATGCAACGGAAATGGGGAACCAGGAGGCATTATCTGGAAAATACGGCCGCATTTCCTAGCCTACCCTTTACTATTCTCTCTTATCGGCCGGGGAAAGGTCGCTTCAATCGCTTGGAACTGCATATTTTTCTATCATCTGGCTTACACCGTTCAAGGCTCATTGAGTCAATCTCTTTCTGTATACCCTGAAGCTGAAAGAATTCTCCCCTCCCCCAAGAACGAGTGCACGAAGTGTTTACTCAAGCTAGATGTTTATAGGTACGGCTGGCCGTCGAAAACCAACTTCCACGAGGGGAAACCGCCTTCTGTTTTCTCTTTCAATCGGAACTCCCGGGGAAATGAAGGGGAGTGGGGGGAAAAATACATCGATCCACGGAGGGTATGGAGAGTGTGAGAGAGAAAGAAAGCAGCATGTGTGCAAGGGAGAGGAAAGTCCAACACGACGTGATGTACAGGAGATGTGGGATAAAAGAGCGAAGGCACGTGCCTGGAACTTTGATAAAACCAAAACCCTGGAGATGTCACACGGGAACTTGAGCATTCATATCTTCGCTCAGCAGCTCGCCCTACGCAATACGCATGACAGACAGATGACTGAGATGTAGAGGGGAAAAGAGATTAAATCATCTCGAGATCTCATGTCAGCGATGCTTCCTTCTTGTCTCTCTCATCTCATTCGAGCTCTCTTATCCCACACCACACTTTTTTGTCGTGAAACGTAGCCACTCTCGGCGGGAGTATCGTCCCTTCGAAGACAGGACGTGGGAATGCAAAACCCTTCTCCTCTATGCCTCAAACAGCACTTCTCTGCATTGAGTTATGAATTACGCTTTTTTTTTTACATTTCATGACACGATTATTCAGACAGAAATACCTTAGATAAACAATAAAACGGAATCAAGAAGTAACATGGCATCGAACAGTGCCTTCAGATGCATGATCTTGCCCATGCCTCAGATAGACTAACTCTTTTGAGCGATTATTCTACACATTGTATCCAGTGCTTCGCAGTAACAAAGTAGAAGTGACGTATTGCAGTAACAGCAAACCTTTTACTGTAATTTCAGCGGCAACAAATTATAATTTGTAGGGGTTCGTAAGGGAACCGGTAACAAGTACCTTTTCAAAGTGCGTGGCGTTACTGCAACGCGTTACTTCATTGGTGATAAACACGATTAGAAGTGAAAGTGACCTGCGTTGTAGGACTAAATTTATTCTTACCTAGCAAGGGAAATATGAAATTGTTCGAAATGAAGGGTAGATGGCATCTCGTCACTACTGTGATTTCACGATGAGTTCACACATCCTCATAAAAGCAAACAATTCTGTTCTTTGGGCCCATCGACACCAGTAAACTAATGTTCCCTCTGGTCTTGCACGTAACGTGAACTGGTATTCTGCAATGTCCAGAGTCGAAACACTAGTACCAGCTAGCGTCCTATCGGAGATGTGTGACTTCATCGCGAAATGACTATACGAACTACGTTGGTTGCTTTGTTCAAGGTCTTCTGGCTCAAATAAAAAATCTGGGGGGGGGGGGGAGGACTCAATTGATAAGCAGTTATCACGAGTTGCCATCCGGCTTCCATTTTGAGCATTGCCTTGCCATCATCGAAATCACTTGCAAAGCTGAAAATGCTCCCCATCGAGTACAATAAGCGCTTACCAGCCGGTGCTGCTGTCAAGTGGATATTTAGAGGAAAAGGAACTTATTCACCAAGAGAAGCAGGGTTTATAATCCAGCTTTGGGCAGCAGCTCCTTCTATAGGCAGTCATGCAAATGCGAATATATCGCATGAAAGTAACTACTGTGAGAGAGCATGCTGGCAATTCTGCTCACTCCCAAGAAATTTGAAAACTCTTTCTTGGAAGTATCTTCACCGATGGAAAGGGCTCCTCACGTGAGCAACCTGGGATGCTCGTAAAATCGCATTTGTAAACTTGTCCCTAAGAGGCAACTCATGGCTATGGTGGAAATGTAAAATGAAAATATTAACTGAAACACTGCTGGAATAAAAATCAGTTCCATGACTTAATTTGAAACTTCTAGCTCGTAACTCTTGGCGAAGAGCGATTGCAACTGTAAAAAATTATAACGGGGATTGAATGCTTGTAAAAAAAAAAATTAATTTTCAAATGAAATATGCCTAACATTGATTATACTTTCTCCGCACAATTCTGCCTCAAACAAAAAATTTTTATGTGAAGAAAAATGACAGGAGGTGAATGTGTTTCTTCAATGAGGCGTGAAGTTATGGAATCTTCGAATCAATGTTTTCTTTCTAAGAGGGTTTGCAATAAAGTCAACCTCGCTTATCTTTGAGTGAAATCTGGCGAGAAAGCATACGATTAAATCTCAGTTTTCCCATGTTTGTTGACGCAACACAACTTAAAATGTAAGTTGTGAACGTCACAAATCCTTTCAATTCTTCATATTCAACCATAAACCAAAGAAGCTGCATGTCAGGTACAATTATGTACGAAGAAAAAGCTCTGAACAAATTTTAAAGACTGCTGTCAAGGGGTCTGAAGGGACATTAGACATAACACCAGTAGTGATGTTATCATGCTTAATGTAGAGTCCGAGAAAATAATAAATAGTCTCGGACTTCCTAGAGTCCGAGAAAATAATTTCTGAATAGATGTATTGAAAAAGTAAATCACGTCGAGCCGCCTCTGCGAATGAAGTTAAGAACCCCAACAGGCTTGCAACAGGCGACTTCCTCCCAGGCATGATCTTGTGATCCCGACCTCGGGAGAGGCGACGAGACTGGTTGGCATTAAAGTTTTGTCGACCTTGAGAACACGCGAGTTCAACGCATCCTGCACGCCTACTCGCTACAGTACATCTCATCCGTCATCAAGCAAATATGAAACATTATCTATTTGAGACATGCTGGGACGGGCTATTGGTTCACGAAATGGACTGGGTTAGGCTGAAACAGGTATGCGCATACAGACGAACTCGGTTATAACGTCATCGAAGGGACCAGGTAAAAACCGTCGTTATAACCGAGGTTGTCTTTATTGGAACTCCGTTTTCCTGTTTTCAAAATTGATGCTATATAACGTTACAACTCCAGTTTACATTGGTCATACTGCACTAGCTTCAGTTTCAAGATTGACCCACTAATCGTGATGTTCGCGCTTCTTTGGACCTTGAACTATCAATACTTTATACTTTAGCAAGGCCTCGTCGATGTCATCTCGACAGACCTAGGAAGTTTCTTGTTTCGTGACATGTTCTCGTAAGCATGGATGAAGCTGTCACGATTTTCCCAAATTGTGGAAACAGATGAACAGATGTCCATGTTCGCGAGCGACGTTAGCTTCACTTCGAGCTCGTTCTATTAAACTAATCAAGCACACTTTCCTTTCAATCGTGAAGGCTTGCCTCTTTCGTTTTCCATTGGCCATGTTGTCAACGAGAAANCCTTTCAATCGTGAAGGCTTCCCTCTTTCGTTTTCCATTGGCCATGTTGTCAACGAGAAATGCAAATGGCGACTGAAGATAAGGTGATCTTAGTTACTTAGAATACTTAGTTACTGGGAATTATCCCTCCCTAACATTGCTCCAGCCGCACCCACATGACTCTCAAGGAATGCCGAATCCAGCAAATATAAAGTTACGGCTCGTCAACGCTAATTTTTCCGATTACGGAAATTTCAGTTAAGAATGACGGATTAGGGACATGAACGTTGTCGATTTCGTCTGTGGGACCTTCAATGGAATTCGCTACAACCAAGGTAAAATGTAACGTGCCTTATGGGCTCTACGCCGGGCCCTGGCGCTTTCGTCGTTATAACCGAGTTCGACTGTATTTGCACTGAGTAACACATGCGGCTGACTATGTCTGTGCTACATTCGACTTGCACTTACCCTTAGAGCTGATCAATTACATCCACCGAGCCAACGATATTTTTCATGGAGATTTTACCTTGTCGAGTAAGTAGATTTGAGAAGCAAGACAACCTTGTTAAACACCTTAATCTTGTTCAATCTCCTTGAACTGTCGCAGGTCATCGTTCACACAGATCTTATTCCGTGAGAAGAAAACAACGATAAGTTTAACTTTCCTACGATCCTAAACATGTGCTACTGTTTTTGGAGGAGTTGTGGTTACGAGATTTATTCGGAGTTACGATACCAGAACGCTACATAACAACTAAGAAAGGATCCACGTTTCTATTCAAGATCTATTTGCTTGCTCTTTACCGCAGGCTTCGAAAAAATTTATACCAGAAACGATGCAGAATTACCAAGTTGCATGCACCAGATGCTCGGATTGGAATGTGGACTCAGATTCCATTCAAACAATCCCACCGTTCTCTAGTTGAGCTTTTCGACATCTGCAATACGGTGCCAGATGTCAACCCTACCCTCCTATAGGGATAAAGTCTTTCAAGTGTATAGGATTTTTTTTTATAGGTGAAATCCACTATACAAGCAGTTCATAATACATTTTAAAACTTAATCTGTGAAAAATAAGTCCCATTAAAAGACTGGGGAGACCGAAGTAAGAGCGAAAGTTCATTTTACTATAGCATCTCATTTCCAGGAATCTGGTACGCACTGTGCCCGTAGATAAGCAGTGAAAATGTGCAGAAAGTAGGCAGCCAGGGACTACATGGTCATATGATGTGATGTGCAGCACCTCGAACAATTACTGTCCTTATAGCAACGAATTTCAACCTCCCATAATTCTCCACTCATGCATATCATAAATTACATTGCGGGTTCATAGACGGGAGACGAATAGTATCCAATTTGGGCTTCTACTCTCAAAACGAGAAAAAACCCGCTTTTGGTTTTTCTATTCCTAGATTCCCTATGACATGCCGATAACGCCGACGGAGCAAAGGAAAAAAGTTCATGCATATGTCGAATTTCCCGTTTCGTGTCGCGATGATAAATCAAAACATGAAGGACAAGGATGTCGGAGATCGAACCTTCGAGTGAAATGCCAACTGTGAGTGGGTGGAGGCGGGGGTGGGGTGGAACTGGGAGGGGTATAGCCCGAGGCGATGGGGATGGGGCTTGGACTTCTTCGTAATACTCGCCTTCCAGGGGAACAACTGCTACCCAGACCGGTACTGGCATTCCCACCACCATTCTTATTCCCGACGCGCTTCATCACCGCTGGTATCGATATTCCTTTCATTCACCCTCTCTCTCTCGGGCCACACAGAGAATGCACCTCAGCGTGTGTATATCCACATGTGGAATGAGAGCCAGAGAGGGATAAGATAGGAAAGGGAGTTGTTCCGTGCGCAGACGCTCCTTGATTCACTCCTCTCTTTCGGCATGTAAGTGGGGGTGCTTATCGTCTGCATCGATCCTCTCTTTCTATAGAGAATATTGTATCTCCCCATGTCTCCTTTTCAAAGGATACAAGCGTACAGACAAAACTAGTCGTTGAGCGAGAGTGATGGGGTGTTGGGAATTAGACTGACGAAGAGGGACGAGCATTATCGATAATGCCTCACTCTCCTCCCACACCTGACAAAGGGGTCATTGAACGCTAAAAACCCTCCTCACACATATTTTCTGTCGCGTAATAGAAACTACCTACGTAATGAAATTAAAACAGGTCTAATGCAATATGGTCAAATTTTCTCCTATTATCAAATTGTATTCAGATTCCCATCACAATGTAATGAACTTTTTTTCGGATCAAGTTTATGAGGAATGTAACAAGAAGGTAAGAGTTCACGGAGGGAGTCAGGCTAAAAGTAATAAAATCTCAGTCAAGATGCAAGTTATTAGAACATTCATGACCTATAATAAGGGGCCTTTATCCTTGGAATCCACTAGTGGTGTACACACATATTGAAGGCCTCAGGGTGGCCAAAATTAAAATCGTCCACCATACAATAAGTCATGTGCAGTGCTTCATGTTAGGTGGGATAAAAAGTTAGTTGAGCACCTGACATCACTTAGCAGACCGCTACATTTCATGGCATTGTTTGAATATGAACTATAAGAATCAGTTTGTCCATTCATACAGCTCCTTTCCAGTTTTCATGTCATATCAGAATTTTCTCTCAATACAAATAGGCTGCTGTGACAATATACAATGGAAGAGTACTTGACTGTACAGCAGATTCATGACAGAATCCCATGTCAAATCATGTAGCTTAAGAGAAAAATTCACAAATTATGAAAATGACTAGTTCAAATTTCCAACTGATCTAGCTCAGATCAGTTGGAAATGTTAACTTGCATGACATACAGCTTGACATGTGTTGTACTGCTTTGCAAAAGTGAAACCACTATCCTTTCATTGCAGTCAGTGCTTGAGATTTAAAGGTTGGGTCTACTAGTATTGTTCATAAGATTCTATTCAGTAAGTCAATGGTTAACAGCAAACAAGACAGGTATAAATACAGGAGGAGCCATGTTGAAGAGGGCTGCACAGCCTTGAATTCCATAGGATTATCTAGAATGCACTTTTTTATTAAATAGAATGACAAGTGAACCATGAAATGAATATCATAAAAGACCAAGTTAACTGGAAAAATTGTGCCTGTATGTGTCTTAAAATGATACTTGCACTTCACAATATATGACAACTCTTGACATGCCTTATCAAACAATCTGGGCCTGTATCAATCAATGGAATCATGCCCTGAAGAAGAAATGAGCTCTGGGTTGAGGTTAACTCATCTCCTTACCTTCCTAAACTATGACTGTTTTCTTCCATGTTCACAATTTTTTTATTGTCATTGATTAGCTCAATCATATGCACAGGTGCATTAAATTACAGAATGCTAGTTGATAATGAGTTTATACCAACAAAATCATGCCCAAGAGAAGCATAACATAGTCCTAAAAAATGTCCACATACTCATTCCAGGTGTGCTTGGATGCTGAAGTAAGTAGTCTCCCTCATTTGTGAAAACAATGCCACCTCTCTCAGGTGCTGTACTAAGACCAAACATGGTCTTAGTACCGCACCTGAGAGGGTATCCTTATCTATGCTACAATGGTGGGCAGACTTTCATAGAGGGCCAACTAAGAAGTAAACCAGATTTTCTGATAGGAATTCTTTATAGTGGGTACCCTAATTCATGCCCCAAGATGCTATACTTCTTGCAAAGAAAAGATATGGGTAGCCATCACATGGAAATGACAGTCTGAGCCTGGGGTTTACTTGGTCTGTTTTCTCAACTCCTTTCACAACTTGCCTTAGAGTTACAACAAAAGGCAGTTGAGGCCAGTTTCTGGTGCAGTATAAATGCAAAAGAGCCAATGAAAATATTCACAAAATGATGCAAGAGAATGGAAATAATCAAGCAAAATTATGGCATCAATGCTGCAGCACATGGCAAACACAGTCAACTACACACAAGGAGTGGTTTGGTCTTCCTTTTGTCTCCCTATAAACCAGGCAGGCTTAATGTTCAACAAGATCTCATCTCTTGAAAACGTGAATCATTATACTAGGTGATGTTTCAAAGTAACCCAAGACAATGACCTTCTCTTGTGTGACAAATGTCAACTGTAAAAAATATTAACTTGAAACCACGAGGGTTGCATTATCCCGGGAAATAGGACCTTAATTGAATTCTTGGTCACTATAGAAGAAAAGCATGGTTTTAACTTTTTAAAGTCTATGCTGAATGTTCAATATGATTTGACATGGTATTCTTTGTGAATTTGCTGCACTAAAAAATTAAAATGGAATGCATAGGTAAGTAACAGCACAGTTAACTTTAATCTAATCAGATAAAAAGCAATACCATGAACAAGATGAAAGAATGTTACTGAATAGATCGCATTAATTTTTTTAGGTCTCTTGGTGGAGACCTACCTTCATTTCCTCAACTTTTGCACCCATTAGAGATGGCTTTAAACTACTGTTAAAATTAAAAACATGAGACACCTGTGCCACCTCTAAGGAACAGTCACCTTTAATCATTTTTGTCCAAGTTTAACCTGTTTAAACTCAGAAGTGGGAACTAGGTCATTCTTATAATCTCTTTTCTTATCTCCTTTCCAAGACAAATCTTATTCTTTATGCTTTATTAAACTGTAGACCCATAGACTTTCTCAGTCAAATTCTGGGGTACTTCATTATCTAAAGTTTACTGTAAGCAGCCCTGGTCTACAGTTTTCAGATTGAATTCAAACCTCATCTGGTTAGTAGAGATCTGAGAAAGTACTACCTCCAGGGGATTTACTTCACTAGGCTATCCAAAAAATCACCCTTGTGAAAGGTGTCATTACATTCAATCGTTAGACGCGGATCCAATCCGAAAATTGTGCAGGTTATGCTAACTTTACAATTTAATATTTTTTCACTTGAACGAATCAGTTTTTTCTTTTTTATTTGGCTCCAGAATGCCCATGGCAGGCTTGTGGAACTTCAAGGCAACCAATACGTTAGACGTAAATTTTGTCTTCGAATGAATACCTGTTGATTCGAAAAAAGTATCGAACTAAACTGAAATAGCGTGACGTAGTAGAAGTAACGTTAGTTAGGCCGGCCGCCAAAGGTTATCCCGGGCTAAGCAAGAATGACATTCATGATTCCCCATGAAGGAAGACCCTTCCTGCCTTACCTTTGAAATATTCAACTCCGGAAAAGTGTGAAAAGTGGAAGCAGGTGAGAACAGCGTGAGAAGGCTAGAGACACACAGAACCAGGCATAAAGCGCCGTACATGCGCACATGGGTGCGGACACACACTCAAGAGGCACAGGCATATTATACATATAGAAGGTACTAGCTGCTACCCATGAAACTTCATTAAAATCGAGGGTAATCGACTTGTCACATATCGTTGAAACGAAACAGCATTTTGAAGCATCAGAATTTTGAAAATGGCTTATGTGCGTCACGTATTCCTTGCCCTCCCCCAATCTACCTTCATACTGTTATGGTAGTACAGGTTTGTGTAGCCCGTTGAGGGGTTTGGGTGGAAATAAGATCAATCAAAAGTTTATCTCTCTTTTCATTCATCCAACAACAGTATGGGATCATGGTCGCTAGTGTGGGGGTTAGAGGTCCTGGGGCTGAGATTCCTGGTTGGAGATCGACAGTCGGTCTTGCTCGATGGTGGTGGTCTTACTATTGAAGAGAAGAGGGTAGTTTGGAATCAGTAGGCGGGATGACTCATGTCCAGTAATTGTCGTGCTTGGGTCGGGCAGGGCTTTTCAGGGTTTAGATCAAGCCTGATTTGTACCGGAGGTCCTTGTTGGGGAAGGTCCGGTGTTCCGCTTTCTGCCTTTTTTTGGAGTTCAATGACCTTTACTTACATAGCATTCGTTTTTACACAAGGATAGAGTAAGGTGAGGTAGTATATACATAGAAGTGTGAAGCGAAATAGCTGAGTTGCTGTAGGTGTTGATAGACGCATGTGGAAAGCTGTAGGAGGGTAGAGGATTTAGTGGGTTGAGTTGCTCTGTGGCCAGCCAGGTGGTGTTGTCGGACCAGGGGTCACTAGGAGTGAAGAATTTTTGATACACATGGTCATTGTATCACGTGACTTCCTAGTTTTTTTTATGTTTTTTTGTGGTTGAGAAACCCTTTTCCCCATATTTTCTTGGTTTTGATTATCATTTTTTCATTTAAATATTTTTCTTTCATTCATATATTTCTTTATTTATTCTTTATTTTCTTTGCTTCATTATTATTTTTTTCAATTATTAATTTCTTCTCCCAATGCCTGTAACGTGCAGCTGGAATATAGGCAGTGATGCAGCAATGGTTCATTCCTACTTGCTTGCGCAAAAATGGTATACTTCAGTTAGGATGTGAAGGAATAACTTAGCTTCAGGAGTTGGTTTTGAGGCCGATTGTCTGCGGGTGAGATGTTCGTTGTGGTGTAACCTTGGAGTCCTCTGGTCCACCAGGCTGTCCAAAGTGGCACCTAGTCTGCAGGACAACACCTTGTGGCTGTGGGAGAGAGAGAGGGGTGTTTGAGTAACAGGTGTGGGCATATTTACATGGCAGATCCAGCTTCTGAAAAGGGAAGGAAGGCCTAACAGTAAAAGGTGTCACAGGCCAGGGGGGCGAGTTAGTCCTGACCATCCTCCATGCAGGTTAAGTTATAGACTGGGTAAGTTCATATTCTTTCATGCTTCTTGAAACCAATTTTTTTAATTAGTAGTCAAATGATATAAGCTGATGCTATAAGCTAAGTCTGATGCTATAATGCTATAATGATGCTATAATGCTATAAGCTAAGTCTGATGATATAAGCCAAA